ATATGAAATCTAGTTCAAGCTAAGTTCAAAATAAACATGTATTAAGGTTTTCAATATTATTACTGTTAAAACTTTTAACCACAATATCTTAACCAGTTTACCTGATTATGTTTAAAAATAGACACTGTTATTACATTTGTAATAGTCTGTTATTTTACTCTGTCTAACGTTGGCATACATAAATTAAGAAAACAATTAAAGGAATAGGAAAAACAAAGTCGCTTTTCAATGTCTGGGTTCTTCTTTAAATTATTTAACGGATACACTTTTCATAAACAGAGAAAAGCTGTGTTGGCCTAGTGGCTTCAGAGGGTGACTCTCATCACTGAGGTCGTAGGCTCAAAACATTCGCTAGTACAGTGAAAGAAAAGAACGTGAGGAAACCGGCTTTCTAAAAGAGGCCCCATGTGACAGACACAGAAGGCCGACACCTACTTGGCTATTAGAAAAAACAAATGACCACGAAACATACAGATCTGAGGCCCAGATCTAAAAGATCACTTTTTTTCATACACAGACTTTATTTCAAATGTAAAATATAGCCACTATAAAACAAAGATTCGTTCCGTCTTCTCACTTCTCAGGTGTTTTAAAGTACTAACTAGTAAAAAATGCTATATTTCTTCGAATATACTTATATATTTGGTTAGTAGTTTGCTATAGTAATAGTATACATACTTAATTCGACGTGTTGTAAACAGGAAATTATATATATATATTTTTGTTAAGAAAGTTATTTCTAGGTAATATTTGAGAGAAGGGAACTTTAGCTGTATTTCATATTTTCCACGGGCACACAAAACTTTCATAGTAAACAAACGTTTTCTCCTGCCTTTTGTTTCTCTATTTATTTTTGCATCTGGACGTAAAGTGTTATCTTTTCGAGAATCTCGTGCGCTTCTATAAAGACATACAACATTATATAGTGTTGATGTTAGGTTTGCTAACAGCCTCACTGGGTTATTAGTGATAATTTTTAAATGATGTGTTTAAATATTAATCCTAGCATATTTAGGCTTACAACGCAAACAGCTGAGAGACGAAAGCTGTATAAACAGGTCCCAAATACAAAAATTTATTAAAATTGTTTATAATTCTTGTGTTATAAAATTAATAAAAATTTATTAGAACATTCACTGCCTGGAGAGTTAAATACGAGTAGATTATTTAAACAAATCTATATAAATAAAAATGCAGAATGGCTGGACCGATTTGGCTAATCATAATCTTGAAATATTTTTGGAAGTTCAGTGAAGGTTTAAACGCAAAATATAAAAAATAAGCAAAAGAAAATACTAAAAAGTCAATTAAATTTTCGATTTTTTTTTTGAAAAAAAAACTGTCACTTGTTTGTCCTATATTTTAGCCTTCAGAAATTTTTGTTACATAGCTGTAGTTTGAGGTCCGATCTCTTTGGTCTGTTTAAAAAATATATTAAGTTTTGACAAATATATAAAGGTGATACGAAGGTCACCGAGACATCTAGTTATAAATATAAAAAAAAAATAGGCAATGTTTCGCTACCATTTTATACGAAGGTAATTTTTAAAGGTTTAAATAAGAACTTTTACAATTACGTCACCTGAGTAATATTTAATGGGCTTAGTTCCCGATAATCTTATGGAAGTTGGATCATCGAAATCTCGTTTCCTTAATGACTTCTATCGTTAGAGAAGATAATGGTCATGACCAAGAGAAAAAAACGTTTCAAATCTATTAATATTGTGCAATAAAATATTTTTTTAGTAGCCCACGACAGCAAAAATTCTGCATTGATGTAGAAGATAAACAAATTTTTTTTAAATTAAGATATGAGTTCTATTGATATATAAAAGCTATGATTCTACGATATTATTCTATAAAACGTAGGCACAGATAACCCATCTGATATAGACATATACATTACATTTATTACTAACGAAACACACACACAGAAACACAAAAAATATGAATAATAATATTCAAAAAAGAAAAATATCTTAATAATTAAGGCACATTTTAAGTGTGTGTGTGTTGTGGTTGTAACTGGTCCTGACTTAGCATTGTGAAGCAGACGACTTCCAAAGTGCTGGTTCATCTGCTAGAAACCACAACATTTAGTTTGCGCCTCAGACGCAAAAAAGAAAAGAATGTAATAATTATAATAGTAGGAAAAAATAATTATAAAAATTTGCAGGGTAAAGAAGTCTTGTAAAGAAGTAAAGAAGTCTTGTAAAGAAGTAAAGAAGTCTTGGAAGTGTGATAAAAATAAGAATAATTGTTACTAAAACTACTATAAGTAATAGATAAATAAATACTTTTTCTTTGCTTGTTCATGTGAGTGGATATAAAAAAATCAAAATATGAAATAAACAAACAAATCCCCCAAAATAATTGCAATATAATCTGTAAATGAAAACCTATTTGGTTATAGTAATAGACTATAGAATTGGCTAATTACAATTTACTTTCTAAATACGTTTATTATCTATCGATAAAGGGTCAATGAAGGTACTTAAACATCTCGCGTATACTGTTATGCCAATATATCTGCTAATAATAATAATTCTAGTTAATAAACCATTAACTGTTCGTTTTATACCCATATATATCTATAATATAAAAATGAGTCGCAAAATGTGTTGGTAAGCGCATAACTCAACAACGCCTGGACCAATTTGGTCAATTCTTTTTTTATAATATTCCTTGAAGTACGAGGATGGTTCTTACGGAGAACAAAAAAATTGAAATTGAGTAAAAAAGTCTATAAACAACACTTTTCAATATACCCAAACAAAATATTCGTAATTATACTTAAAAGTCAATTTGAACTTTAATACCATATCATAAAGTTCAAGTGTTAGTGGAGGGGTTCCGGGAAGGTAAATTTTTATTTTTTGACATAATGTATTTGTTGTCTTATCAACTTTCTTTTTTTTATCTTACTAGCTAGACCGGTGTCCCGAATAGGAGAATAAGTATTTAAAAAAAATAAAGAATCGACTTTTAGGCGGTACGATGTTCGCCAGGCCAGCTAGTACATATATATATATATCAATACATCGATGAAGCTGTTAGCAAATTACCTACCTGCTTTCAGAGGCTTTTATAAAATTGTATGGTATTCTAGCCCTTATCGACGTGATAGACCTTGCTAAGTACTGCCTTTTTTGCGTGGTGGAAGGCTAGATGACTTCAGGCTAATGGCTTGACCCAACGCGTAAATATCGGCTCCCGTCGGTACAAATGATTAATGTGAACAAGAATGGATCGAGTAATTGGTACTAAAAGCAAAGTGGAACTTATAATCTATAGAATTGATTATTAGCAGCCTATGTAGCTCGAGGAATTTCAATTTGTTTTGATTATTCAATGCTCTGATTGGATTTTCTTATATTAAAACTAGCTGCCCCAGCGAACTTCGTTTCTCCTTAATGCCTTTTTAATACATACCAACATGGAACATTTTGCTATGCTACCCCAGAGACTGTTCGGTTTTCCGGAATGAAAACTTTTTAGGTTTTTCTGTCATTTTTCTCTACACCTCAGAGTTCAAGTTATAAGTTCTTAACTAACACATAAAAACTAGGGGTTGATCGTAGAGGGTTGATGAAATTAAGGGTTGTTTTTGTATGCTGTATCATAAAAATTGTCTAAAAAATAAAAATAAATAGTTTGGGGTGGACACCCCTTATCACTTAGGGGTTTGAATATGTGATGAGCCTCCTGTGCCGGACACACCCCACTTTTTGGGTCTAAGGCAAGTCGGTTTCCCCACGATGTTTTCCTTCACCAATGTTAAAAGTGCACATAGAAAGAAAGTTTATGTCACAGCCGGGGATCGAACCTACGACCTCAGGGATGAGGGTCCCACGCTGATAGAGCTCTTTATATTTAGAATGTATCCAAGTAAAACAGAAAGCTGTAACTGATCCTTAGGACAGACGGAAAGGGTGTCCAAAGCCTTATAAGGGCGGAAGGGAACATGACGAAATCTCATCAAGCGATCGCATTATCTTAGTAATGTGATACATTTGTGTAGGGCTTCCTTAATACTAAAATCTCTTGATCTGTTTAAAATGTGAGCTTTTAAGTAGCTACCCACATACTTCGATAGTTTAGTACGGAACGTCCCATAAAACAATGGTGCAGATTACTACATAGATAACACAACACATGAATATGTCGAAGCAGTTAAGTTAGTTTTTACCATGCACCACCACAATGTGAAACCAGCTACCAACTGAAGTATTTAAAAAAACACTTTTTTACCGGATTGAAGTTATGTGTTATTATATCATAATTTTAAATTTTTCTGACGTTTCGCATGCTTTACAGTGTGCGTGGTCACCGTTGTAAATAATAAGATGAAACTGAAGTATTTCTGAAGTTATTAAAAGGCCGGCAACGCTCTTGCGAGACTTCTGGCAATGTAAGTGTCCATGGGCGGCAGTACCACTGTAGGTGAGACTCTTGCCCGTTTGCACCTGTTTCATATTAAAAAACGTCAATACCACAGCATAGACCTATCACAAATATCTATGGTCAAACGTCAAACGCGTATAATTAGAGGGTAGCTGTTAATCTAATATATAGAATTCTCGTTTCACAATGTTCGTTCCCATACTCCTCCGAAACGGCTTGACCGCTTCTTATGAAAATTTTTATACATATTCAGTAAGTCTGGAATCGGCTACTGTCTACATTTCAAACCCCTTAGTGATAACGGGTGTCCACCCCAAAAATAATATTTTTATTTTTTACACAATTTTTTTGTTTTAATTTTTTTATGATACAGCATTCAAATATACATATAACCCCTAACTTTCACCCCTCTACGATCAACCCCTATTTTTTATTATTGTACATAGTTATTTTTATTGAACTAAAAAAAAATTCCTAGAAATAATATACATGGCAAAACAACGTTTGGCGGGTCAGCTAGTATACATATAGTAACAGTTAAACAAATTATGTCTATATTAATATAACGGCCCGTATAAAGTAATATTCTTGTCATAATGATATGTAACTTTGTAAGTTCAAATGGGCCAGCTTTGAGCAAGGAATTATTTTTGCTGACCAGTTCCAAGTCGCGATTATCTTAGAGTTATGTTTCCGTTGTGGTTGGCGACGAGTTGAATTTGTAATAATTTTCTTCTATCCATTAGCACGTCGTCTCAGGTTATCGCTATAATATTTATTGAATATTAAATGTTAACACACTCCTTAGTTACAAAATTTACTGCGAACTTGCGCTTAGAATTGAGAAAGGTCGTTAATTTCTAAAAGGCCAAGTTTTATGTTGTGACCTTAGATGAAACAGGCTATTAATAAGTTTACGTTCCATTGTATATTAAAAAAAAGTACCTATAACCGACGAGCATGTCGGACCGAAGCAAGTGATAATAATATTTAAATATAATAAAATTCTCGTGTCACAATGTTCGTTCCCATACTCCGAAACGGCTCGACCGCTTTTTATTATTTTTTTATGCATATTCAGTAAGTCTGAGAATCGACTTTCAAACCCATAAGTTATAATAGGTTTCCTCCATAAAATATTTTTAATTTTAGACGATTTTTTTTATATTTTTTTATGATAGGTACAACATACAAAAATACATACAACCCTTAATTTTCATCTACCCTCTACTATCAACCCCTATTTTTTTATTATAGTAGATAGTTATTTTTATTGAATTAAAAAATGTTTCCTAGAAATAATATACATGGCAAAACGACGTTTGCCGGGTCAGCTAGTTTAAATATAATAATAATAGCCTTTGTTGCTGTAAAATACTTGTTCTAATACCTACATAAAAACGTGAAGTACTATAAACACTAATAATTAATCGGCAAGCTGGTTAATTTCTATTTTACAGCTTGTCCTTAGACATAGGCCTCCTCTAAGAGCTTCCACTCTTCTCGGTGGCTAGCTTTATTTAGCCACATAGGGCAAGCTGCTCTACTTAAATCTTTTTAGTAGAAGAATATGTAAATTGTAAATAAAATAAATATCTTATTATCTCTTACTGTAGAGTGTTAATGATTATCCTTTCGTATCAATAAAGAAATTCCTGTAATATACAAATATGCAGTTATTGCAGTGTAAATTATGAAGTCATTAGCGATTATAACCATCATAACGATTAATATAATAATATATTATGCTATATAAAATAATTTTAGTGTCTAGTTTTACCAGGTGCAATAGAGTTAATTAGAAATTGGTTTGATCAACTTTTATTGCTCGATTATATATGCATCTGCTTATTATCACCTGTCTTAACGTTTGATTGATGGGTCTTGATTGAATCAAATTAATAAATTTGCTCATTAAATTATAGTAAATTTATTTAGTTATAACGAGTGTACAGTTCATTACTGGGCTAATAGTGAGATACGCATTTTCTGTGTCATTATGTACTTATTATTGAACTTAATTTAGATAATAATTACTTTTCTATATTCATTAATTGTAGGAATTTTATTTAAAGGTTAACAGTTATACTTTGGATTTATATGTAATAGGCTTTATTTAAGAGGCGCTTCGGTTACTCAATCTATGCTTGTAATTGTTTATTAATTTTTGAATAAAATTACTTTTAAATTTATTACAAATGTAACCATTTTGTTTATTCTACCAGTAAACTACTACAAGTAAACCTTAGCTTTTTATTGTATTTAAAAAAAATATTATTATTTCAGCCTCCACCACTACAAGCTCCGCCCGTGGCTCTGCCGCCACCGACTTCTACTGCTGGACCCCTCTCGCCCCATTCTTCCGCGCCCCGCACTATTGTCATTCAGCGACCTGACGCTAGGCACGGTTTTGGTTTCACGTTAAGGCATCTGGTTGTTTACCCACCGGACTCTTTACAGGTATTTATTGTTTTCTTTCTAGTTAGGCTTGGAATATCACATATACGCTGACATGTAATAGGGCGTGACATGATGATATAGAGAGGTCTTGAGATATGCATCGTCTTACAGCCCCTTTTAAGCTTCCTTCTTTAATCTCGTATCCAGTTTAGGTATTCACCAAAATATTTTTAATTTAATATAGATCAAACAAATTAATTTTATAACTGACCTAAATAAAACTTGGAATTCAATATAATCATTTATCCAGGAGTTATACGAGGATGCCCGTCACCTGGCCGTGGGCGCAGTGGGCGCGCCCATGGACACGATCTTCGTGAGGTCGGTGCGGGCGGGTGGACCAGCAGCGGTAGCGGGCCTCCGAGCGGGCGACCGGGTGCTGGCGGTCAACGGCGAACCCGTGGCCTGTGGGCGCTCGCGGGCGCCCTACGCGAGAGTCGTGCAACTGGCGCAGAGGGAGCCAAGAGTGCTACGATTAACTGTCGTGCCGAGAGATCACGATCTATTACAGAGGGTAAGGGGTTTTCGTTAGTATTGTATTAAGTATACAGTGTTTGACTACGTACGGATGAAAGTAGATGAAAGAAAAGCATCCATGTTTGATGTAAACTATGTTTCCATTTATAAGATAGTGATACTGCAGCAGAAAAGTACGCATTTTTGAGAATCAAGTCTGTACTGCCGCCAGTAATATCTGTCACCATCTATGTATATGTTCTATCCATACAATTCATTTATTTAAAGTATATTCATTATGAATTTGGTTACAGTATTTCAGTGAAGCAGCCTACAACCCTGAAACGAATCAGCGGCCCATAGAGATGCCGGCTCCAATCACAGAGCACGAATCGCGGCTATTCGACGCCTACAGGCGTCCAAGAGCCAGTCTTCCTGCCTTGCCTGGCCCACAAGCCCCCGCAAGGATGAGAGAGGATCCAGAATACGCGACAGTAGCACCCCATCCACAGAGGTTTGATGCCAGATTAACCAACGCGCCGCATTATATCATACACGATGGGTAAGTGTCATCTACATTCTAGCGACTTTTTAAACATCAAAGTCTAGCTTACGAGAAATTTACCTTTTATTTTGCTACAGCTTTTTTAAATATGTAATGTTATTTTGGCCTATTAACTTAGAACAAAAATTAAAGTCTCAAAACCTTATGTTACAATCGTACTAATCTTTATATTACAAATAAATTAATAATTGAAAAACAATAACTCAAATATATTATTAAAGAAGTCCCTTTAGAAAAGGTTCCGATGATACTGGCAGAGTTCCCGTTTTGAATAGCTAGACTAAACCTATGTCCGAAGTAGCTGCCAGCTCTTCGGTCTCCTGTGATGTCGACTAACCTTTTTGCTATTCCCTTAAAAAGCCTTATAGCGCTAGGACCCCATAGACCAATGGTACTAATGGATTGTTCTAATTATGTTATAAATGTTTTCAGAAGACGGGAGTCTGACATATCCCTGCCATCATCAGCCACAGAAAGCAAAGACAGTCTCGGCTCCTTCGACTCGAACTCAACACTGACGGGCCGAGAACTGGACGATTCGATAATCCTCTCCCGAATACGAAAGAGCCTCGAGCAGAAAGAGGCTTTTCTCAGACGTCCCAGTCAACCCACAGGATGGGTCACCCCGGACGTGCCACCTCCGATCAAACAGAAGGAGTTCTACGCTCGACCACAAAAGCTACAGAAGCCAGCTTGGCCTCCACCCCCTTCTTCTCCACCGCTTGCATCTTCTCCTCCTCCCCACCAACCAGCCACCGAGCAGAGAAGAGAAGATTGCGCCACAAGCGTGGACAGTGGCACCTACAGCGCCTATGGAGAAGTCAACGGCATGGATAAAAAGCTCAAACAAGATAGAAGCCAGTTTGTGGCGACGTTGTCCAACATACAAGAGACAGCGCCGTATCAAAGCAATAATGTTGGAACTATGAATGGAACTAATAACGATAGCAAAGAAGAAATGGCGACTAACCAGGATAATAGGTAAATAGTAGTTTAAAATAACATAGTATTTAATGATTAAAAATAACATTGAGCGTTGGACACTACTTCTTAATAAATAACTTATTTTGACGTATTTTAAAATCTGTCTATAGATATCCAGTACCTGAACTGCAACTTGTAACAGCCAGAACGCGGCAGCTAGAAGAAGCCCGTGGTGTAGGAGAAAAAAGAACAGAAGTGGCTCGAAGTGAGTTAGCCCGGCTTTCCACAACTCGGCTGGAACCTAGTGTGGCACTCAGAAGAAAAGAGTTTGAGACCAGAGCCAATAGAAGAGAAGCTAGATCGTTAGATGTGCAACCGCAACAAGGTATAATTGTAAAACAACATAGTACGTTATTTAATAAATGATAAAAGTTCAAGAAATATGAGCTTATTTCGTTTTTTAACTTTACATCCAGTATATCCAGTGGAATCCAATTCATTGATCATATTATAGGCAAGTGGGTGATCAAACTGTGCGTGACATACACAGACGATTTCTGTATCTATGGCTTCCTAAGGTACTTTGATACTTTCCTTCAACTCAAAGAAAACTCCATTGGCAGAGCAGCTTTGACACTACATATTAAACCATTACTATAGATTTGTATATTAGTGAGAATATATTTTCAGAGAATTTACAAATCAAAAAATACGTCTCTATACGTTTTAAATATGAGAAATTCTAAGAAGTTTTACTAAAGGTTTGCTTACGCTTTTCAGAGTTAGAACATGAGTCAGCCCCCCTGGGCGGAAGCTTGTCCGGCAACCAATTGATGATCACCGGCAGCAAACACCTGCATTGTCCACCTCCAGACGGATATGTGCCCGGTAAGTACTAATTTATGTAGTATCGTAACTGATGAATCTTCATTCGAATTTAATGAAGATGATGTCTGATTAGCATAATTTATAATTGTTTGATATATGTAATATGTTTTATAATTTAAATTTAATAATGTTTCTTGTTAAAATTGAAGTCATATTGTTTGTACCTCTCAAACATTTTAGTTGTGCAAAAAATTAACCTGCTGTATAATTGAAGATAAACAATTTCTGAAAGGCTTACAATTTGTATAATAATATTAAATTTTAAATTTATTTTTCCAGAAACGGAAAAGGTTCAAATGCGAACGAGGTCAAACAGTACCGGAAGTGAAGGATTACCTATTAGAAGACATCATGCCACAGGTAATGCTTGTGCTTGAAAAATTATTAAAAATAGCAAATAAGGGAATTGTGGATGCGGCATACGGAATGTTTCGATTCGGACAATCCTTAAGGACATGCTTATAAGGTTTAGGGAATAACGCCATCTTTTGGTGCACTGCCGCTATTGCCCATAGCTTAGCAAATAATGATGCAAGGTAGTATTTCTGATTATGATATATTGTATGTCCATCGACCGTTAGTCATTGTCTAAATGTTTAACGTTATCGTGTAGAGTTTAGTGATTCATATATCGGATCATTTCATCAAGTTTGTATCGACACAATAAACATTTTGAAACTATTTACACTGCAAACACAATTTAGGCCTTATTTCAAAATTACCCGGTCTTAAGAGCCCACCTAATACTATATTCCGCCCCAAGATGGCAGTCACGCGAAGAGACGTATGGGGCTGAACAGAGAACAAATGGAGGCGATGAATCAGGTTTCGCTGGGGCACGAGGGCCACCAGGGGCATTCGGGGGTCGAGGGGCACCACACGAGGCACTGGCCGCAAAGACCCACGCAGCTGAGCCTGGCGCCTTCACCCCCCGCCTCGGCTGCCACTTCGCCATCACCCACGCCAAGCACTCCCGCGGATTCAGGTCCCCAGCAGACTTCTGTTAACCCCCTCTATGCGTACTGGACAGCTTGCCTCATCTCATCGTACCGCTAAAACTGAATTAAACACCACCACAGACAGTTTAAAACACTTGTTGTGCAAAAATCATTATTTGCATGTTTTTCCAGCGATTAAATGCATATAGTCGCGAGAAAGCCGCGAAACGGCCGCTTTAAATGTTCCTAACTTCACGTGATTCCGTGTAAAACTATGAAATAATTTAAAACTAAATTCAAACCTTTAAATGTTGCTAACTTCACGTGATTCAGAGTGAAACTCTGAATTTTATTACTAAATTCAAATCGTTCAAAGCTTGTATGCATGAACATATTCATTTCAAGTGCATAAGAGGGGGTCATCTAACCTTCTCTGCCGGCAACTAACAGAATGCGATGTGCTTTTCGGTGTGCTACTAACGCAAACTAAACGTTGTATTTTATAACTATGCTTTCATCTGCTAAACATATTTATTGTTTTAACAGGTTTTGCTGACGATCTTGTTACGAGACGACAGAAGAAGGATGCACAAATGGGGGGTGAGTGGAAATTTCAATTTTATTATGCAGACATAGATTTAAAATATATATGATTTGCCTTCTGAGACTGCTCAAAAAGATGATTAACGGAAGCTGATATTTGCTTTTTCCTGAGCTAATCGGCTTATAATATTTGCTTTACGTAGACATATTAATAAAAAAAGTGCGTGCGTACAAAGTACACGTGTCAGAAGTGAAACTTCTTTGACAAACTAATTTTTTAGTCTTGTTCATATTTATACAAATTGAACACTTTAGATTTCCGAGACTTAGAGGGAGAGAAAAAGGAAGATATGTTAGGAAAATTTAATAGTCATTAAACAAAGAGCGGTTAGGCTGTCACCCGAATAAACTTGCTCGCCAACTCACCATTAGACAGTATGTGAGTCGACTAAAACGTCACCATATTCTAGAGCTAGAAGACCGGCAGTAGCTCTAGACAGAAGATGAGTAGATGCTTCCAATGGGAAGTCACTCTACATGACAGCGCCATAGAAAAAAATCGCTCATAGCCTTGGGGCTGATTGCAAATAACCGCAGAAAAAAAAAATAGTCATTAAAATATTAAGTGTCGAAAATTAATACAAATTATAAATATATTTTTTTTTAATTTATTTCTTCTATAATAAAAACACGTGGCATTTTAATTTACAATTCGTTATTTGAGATTTCAATAAAATTTATATTTCATGAATTCTCTTTACGAAATTTTAATTTTCAAAATAGAATTTCTATAAGGTAAACCTTCTCACTCTCTCTCAATCGGTCTCAATTGCTCTCTCCCTTTTCTTCGACAAAAACGCTGCAGATCTTCCTGACGCTAATGTTATTATTATTGCGTTTCATCCGTATAAAAATTACCCTCATGCCTTAGGAATTATGGATATTTAACGAGTTTCGAGTGCTTTAACAGCAATAGTCAACGAGAGACTGCCATCTAGTTGTTAGATTTGATATTATGACTGCAATGATAACTCTCTTTCCACTTACAGAAGAAGAACGTGCAATGAGAAGAGTCTCTTACTTAAAAGCAACTTGGGGTGATCGGTTGCACCTAGACGGCGACGTGGAGCCAGAAGTCGATCTTCACGCGTTGAGAAGGTATTTTTTAAAACATCATACTATTGTAAAGAATATAAAACATTTGTACTCTTGTTCAGAAATCCTTTCCATATTCTGTGGTAGTTAATTTTCAGTAATTTCTTTAACATGTAGATTTTTGCACCCATAGTAGTAGTTATGGTGATTAACTTTGGGGTTTTAATATTGTGGAATTTGTATCGTACCAACAATACAGTGCTTACCGCAAGTGGCGCCCCCCTCGATTCGCCGACGACATTACTCCGTTGCTGAGAATTTTCGACCCCCAAGCGACAGGTTCCATTCGGTACGTCGCATGATGTCGCGATGTTCCGATAGATGACGCTTATCATGTGTGCTTGAGAGAATATAGATGGCGAAATTCAACAAAAAGCTTCGTTTTAGCTAACTCCATTGAACAGATGTTCAGACATTTGTCTTAGTTGTTTTGTTATCTAGAGAACTGCTTAGTGAGTTCATACTGCATGTGTTTTTATGACCCGTTTATAATGAATTTACAGGGCCACGCATTTTGGAAATTGAATTATACTTGCCTTAATTGCATGATATGTGTCTTGTGTGTGTGTGTTTTAACCAAAAAGGTTTTTTTTAATCTCAGTAAATTGTTAAAATAAACTTTTAAATTTTATAACTTAAATTTTGTGGAATTCTAGATTTGATAATTGTATTGTAAAGGATTAAACTAAACATGCTATTTATTAACAGTTCAGAAAAGAAGAGTGAAGAAACAGAGGAGAATGAGCAAGCTTCTGAAGGAGATGTACAAGGGAATGTTCAAGTCAAAATGGTAGTCAGTAATGGAAAGGTGAGAATTGTATATAAACATATAAAGGTTAGGTTTAAAAGCAAAAATACAAATTAAATATTTAAAATACTTCAAACGGATAGTTGTTGTCCAAGTTTATTAAAAGTTGATATAATTTCATTTTTTCAAAATTTCAAAAAAAAAAAACAGTTCAATTAGAACATTTACTCCAAAAATAGTTTTTTTTTTTTTTTTTTACACCACGTGGCTACCCTATTAGATATTAATAAAAAAATATCAGTCAATTGCACCGTTTTCACAAAATTACCCAACTGTCACTTTTCCTCAAAGCGTAAACATAATTTAATAATAAGCCACGAAAGATTACTTTAAAAGCAATTAAACTAATTTTATTTTTATGAATGGGTATGTATAAATTACAGTCTACCATTTTGATTAACTAGTCTCTGTAGCCTGCTTATTACGTTTTACTATATACTATTGTTTTCTTTATCAGCGCGCCAGCGACAGATCGTGGAAGCAAGTATGGGCGGTACTCCATGGCACCAAGCTGTACCTGTATAGACATCATCCTAGTCAGGTAAGTCGTAAACCTAGAAAACCTACACTCTTATTTATATGCATTAAATTTCGCTATTTTAACTAAAATCTATCGTCTCTTTTTACACAATTGTATTTACGCTATGGTCGAAAGAGACAGCGCTAGCACTTCTTCCTATTAATTCGTATTATGAAATAAGGTACGGAATCAATTCTAAAAAAATTAAATAGTAAATAGATTTCCTAGTAATTAAAACTTCATTTATAATTGGAATATAAACCGGCAACATACAATAGACATGGTTATTGAGGCATCGCAATACAACAGGCAAAACGCGTGGTTTATCAACGATGTTTTATATAGACAGTAGGAGGCAAAGCAATGATAATCGTTTTTGGAAAAAATAAAAATCGCTCTTCCATTTAGCTCCTCTGTGTTCTTTCATATAGGATGTAAAAAATTGGGTAAATTAAAAAAAAATCGTACTTGCTCATGTTAAGAAATAATTTAAAAATTGTTCAATACTGCGAGCGGAAGCTTCGTTTGTCAATATCGTTGCCGAAATTGATCGGAAATATTCTATATACGGAGAGAACAAACTTCCTTTCTATGTACACACCTTATGTACACTATGTGGTAAATATTTTTCGCACGCGCTCTAATGGAAGATTTTGACACACGTGAACTTAGGTTGTTTATTGTTCTAGCGAGTACTGGGTTAAATAACATATATTTCTAATTTATAAATATACAATTCATGGGAATTACTAAGTACGAAAATCTTCTACTTTGATTTACGTTCCCGACCGTGGTTGTTTTGTATTGAAAATCAGATATTAGCACAGCTCTTAGTATTAATTATATTAAATTATTTATAGGCTAATATGTAAATTTGTAAGCCAAAATATTATTATGAAAAAAAAATTATAAATACGAAATTAAGGGACAAGTAAGAATATTTTGATTCGCAAAACTTTACCACATGTGCCAATTATCGTAAATTTTTGTGTTGCTTGTGAAAAACATTCGTAAACAAATTCTTCATGTTAAATTGAGGGTTAAAATTGGATTAAATTTAATTCAAGTCCGCGTTCTGAATTGATTTTCCTCAAACCATCACATTACTTAACATTTCGTTGTTTTCTTTTGGTATATTTTTGTGCTTTTGGTATATTATTATGTCCATCTGAATAAGAAGAATGCTTGACTCACATTATTAACTTACTTTTATTTATAATATTTTTCGTTCAATTATTTTTAAAGTTATAATTTAAGTGCCAATATTGTGACAAAAGTATCGTTCTTGTTCATCTTTCAATTTAAATCTAAAATTCTTGTAATTCTTATTATTATTTTAATAGCCCACCATATATTATTAAGTACTAGGTTTTTCTTAATTAATAGGAGCTTCCTTGAACCAGACTTTAGCCAATTGAACCCAGATCTTACCTATGTCTTATCGTAATCGAAGTATCAAAAAATATAAATCATGCATTGTTTGTTAGTCGATTTATTTTGGTGCGTTGTTGAATACAAACTCCGTTTGGCCTTAGTCCTTATCGTGCCAACAACTGGACATTTCCTGTCTGCCATATAGGACAACCCACCTGGCTTCTTTCATGCTCGACAGACCACCACAGTACATATGACATTCAGTAACGGAGATTTTCTTAATCTTTTAAATGGTTTCGTAAGTAACATGGAATCCCTTTGATTTGGTCTTGGTGACTTTCGAATTAATAGTAATATTAATAATCGCGTTATATATCCTGTATTTTGTTAGACATTTTGATACACTATATTTAAATTTATTTTTAGTGAGCCAAGGAACTAAAAATGAATTGAGTGTAATTTAGACTTGAGAAATATTGTGTCCAGGCATTTCTTCACCCTGCACAGTTTGCTTATTATAAAACCAACAGTTTCAATTTGGTTACCAAGCTGGTCTCGTACCGAAATTAAAAAGATCTTTGATGCCATACATAGGTGATCACTCAAATATTTCAATTTTATTTTTCTTCGTTGATTGCTATCGTTATAATTTGAATATCTTAAAATTGATAAAGCGACATATGCTTTGTACGTTACTTGTTATTTCTGTCACGCTTATTGCGTATCTTGTTAACTAACATAATTATATTGTCTGATTATAAACTCAAAGAATGTCTTTAAATTAATTAAATTATATTTTTTACGCAGTTATCTCGAATTTATAACATGACATCTTTAGGACGAGTACTTGTCTTTCTTTAATTATTTAAAGAATAGAGTTCGTTTAAAAACATTATTTATATGTGTGGTACTCGCATACTCGTTGCAAAATAATACACAACGATCTCGTCCTTTAAACAAATCAAAATTCCTCTGATCAGAGAACAAATTGACAACTTGTGCCAACTGGCTAAAAAAAATTACCCGCGTTCAAATGTGAGGTTCTGGATATTCAGCACAATATATGGGGTTGGTTAGCCTAGGCTTACTCTAAAAATTAAATTAAACAGGCTATAATCTAGAGTCAAAGCTTTGCAGTGTTATTGAATAGCAGTGTAGACGATAATTAACAACATTCAACACGAATTTAGCCCCTTTGAAGTAATTCCGCTTAACTATTACTTACGAATATAATACGGTCATAGTAATCTGTGACTTATTGATGTCTAATAAAGTTGATATTTAAGATCAAAGTGAGTCGGAAGACATTTCAATATGAAATTGGGACTTCCCAGAAAGTAAAATGGTTTAATGGCGAAATATATGCTTGGAATATATTAAGGAATGATTTATCTCTTAACTCGCTTGCTCCTGGTATACCGAAAGAGAAGTAGAGCCACGCGCGTTGATGGCACGGATTAAAATTCTCCCCACGACTTAAGAGATTTAGGTTTTAAGCAGAGCAGAACACGCGAAACTCAATACGACATCTTCAAACCCCAGCAATGGTATTGAAAATTGCTGGTAAAGTGAAGGTAAACATCGTGAAGTTATCGACGCGGCTTTGACTCAAAAGCCGACGAAGTGTCATTTACCACGGAGAGTGTTTAGAGGAGTTGTTCGGTCATCATCGGACGTCTAGGCAGAATACGAAATTAGTTTTTTAAGGCTGCCGCACACCCTATATGGAACCAGCTGCCCTCTGAAGTATTTTCGAACAAATTCTACTTAGGGTCCTCCAAGAAATGAGCGTACCAATTCTTAAAAGGCCTGCAATGCCTGTGAGCCCTCTGGCATTAAGTATCCATGGGCAGTGCTTAACATCGGGTGAGCCTCCTGCCCGTAACCCCCTGTTCTATAGAAATAAATAAAGCATATAATTAAAAACCATAAACAAGCATGCATCTTAGATCATAGACTTCGATAATTTTCATTTGATAAGAACTTTAAAAACGTTTTAAACATCTGTCGTGTTCATAAGGCAATGAAGATTTGACAGTAGGTAGCAAAGTAAATATTATATCACTAATCATTATACAAAATGATAATCAGTTTGATAGTGTCTATTATTTAATTTAACACCCACATTACGCCTCGGCTCGCCCTAATTTTAATTATTTAAATAATTCAAACATTCTAAACCCACAGATTGATTTATTGTTAATAGTTTTAAGAAACTCTAATGAAGTGAGTGCTAAAGGAAGTTGTACTCAAAGGGACTCGTTACTTTTATTTATATTTTCCTACACAATTATATTGCAAATCCTAGAAGCCCTTAGCCCTTTACTCAGTGACTCTGTTTGTCTCGTGCTCTATAAAACACGTGAACAAAACAATCGCAATAAAGAATTTAAGCACATATCAAATTGTTCCCTATAAGGAAAGAGTTCCATTGATAACATTTGTCCCTCTCATCGGTCTTATATCGGAAAGGGACAAACGTCTAGACGTTATAACAATGTCCGGTGTCTTGTGACCTTGTGTTTAAAGTTTGATATACGAACTCGACCAAAATACGACAATCACGTTAATATGACGCCTGGAGACTGAAATAGATGGAAACAATAGCAATATATTTGGATAAAGGTAAGCCCTGGGGAGTTATAGCTATCGTAAACAATGACTTTGACTAAGTTTCAATCCGTAATTCATATTCCAAAGCAAGTGTTAACGAATTCGAAATTTGAATTTTTAAAACATACGACGGGGTAAACTTAATAGAATTTTCTGTTTCATCTCTTAATCACACTTTTTTTTAAACGTTTTTATATATTTAATAACACGTTACACCAATTTTATTAATAATTTATTTCATAAATACCACCAAAAATAAACAGTTCAATGAGGCGCCTTCTCTTTTATTGACCCCTATAAAAGAAAATAATGAAAAAAGGCTAATTTTCCAAAAATAAATGCTAATAAGAAATACTTATAACTTTAAAACTATTAATTAAATATAAAAGTTGGAGACAAGTTTCATGTGTATCACGTGTTACTAGAGTAAATAAAAAGGAATATTACAACACCTTATTGTAAATACATATTTCCTTCTTAAAGTTTCACGACCGCTTCCTTACGTACGTTTAAGGGGACGATGTTCGAATATACTGTCAGCATAAGCTTATACAATCGATTACTTTTTGATAAATAAAGTCGTAGATAATCTGTACGGTCCCTGGGTCATCGGGGTGCTTTAAATAATAAAGGATTTTAGTTTTACTCTATATTAACCACTCGCATACAACAATAGAATATAAGCGAAATAATGAAATTTTAATTGCTATGTAAGGAATGAATGCAATGTAACAGTTGAAGAGAGTGCCTGCGTGCGAGTCTCGGGGCGTAACTCCGACGATTTAGGAAATCGCCACGCTTATTAAAAAAGCCTGACTGTCCAATATGTATTGCCTAGGCTCGTACAATATCCTCATATATATTACTGTCAAAGCTAAAAAAAATTTAAATATATACTAACGACTATAACACTGTCAACTGTATAACAGAAATCAACGGGCTTGCCCATAATTATTAGTATTTTTTTTCAGTGTTAATTTTTAGTACTTTTCATTTTTATATACTAGTATAAGTAACTACAGCAATAAAGGCTTTTCTTATTATTATTATAACAACTGTCAAACAGTTCAATTAGAACATTGACTCCAAAAATAGTTTTTTAAAACGTGTTGCTTGAATATCCTGGTCTTAAGCATACTGCTTAATGTTTGCCATAAAAGGCTACGCGCATCGTTGTAACTTACATGAGAAAAACGTATTTCACTGACGTAAATTACTTGGACGAGCGAAGTTACTTAATTATAAGTTGCCTGATAAATTACTTTATTTATTTTTACGTGTTTAAAGTTGCCGCGTTTCCTGTCGGTAATTATTAAAATAAACAATAATCACTTCCTACGCAAAGCGCTGACGGGTTAAGGCTTCGTCAGATATAGCCTCTAAATAGATTGCGATTTTTATAAGCAGGTTTACAGATTTCGTGTATTTTTTTTATTATTATTTATTATAAGTAATATGTCATACTAATGTCATGTTGAACATGGTGTAATGGTTGCAGCTCCTTACAAACGTTGTGTAAAACAAAAAACTTGGCGATTAAAAAGAGTGGCGGAGAGTTTATTGCCAGTTCTTCTCTTCCGTTCTACGCCCTTGATTTGAGAACTGCCGTAACTGCAGTAAATGTAAAATTAGAAGCATTTAATTTTATTTTTTGACGTTCATAAGTGTACATTGTGTTACCTATATGAATAAATAATTTTGACTTCTGGCTTGATTTTTCAGGGCCTTTTCCATACCATACAAAATCACACTATCTAATGCCAATACAAACCGTTTATATGTAAAGATTAATTTAATGTAATTTTGTTTAAGAATATTCACCAAAGTTTATCTTCAGGCGATAATCACACAGTTGATCGTAATTTTGAAATAATTAAAATTAAAATTTATAATTCTGTGTCGACACTTCGTGTGCTTGAAAGTAACAGGATAACCATTATTACCATGTAATATTTAAATTCGATTTATTCTGTGTATTTTAAGACGAATAAATCTATAATGAATGGTTGTTGATTAATATTAAAATTTTAAACGTAAATAAATTCAGCATTTAATAATTCTATATCCCAAGTGAAATGAGAAATCAGATATGAAAGCTTTAGACATTTCCCTCGGTATCCTTGGACCTGTTGGAAACTGGGTCAAAGCCGTTACTCAGGGATAAATTGCGTTTGCCTTCCATCTGTAAATAGCAAATCCTAGATTTATGACCACTGTGATGGATTAAATAAACTCGGTGTAAATATACGTTTAATACCGTTTACTGTATGAAAATAAATTTATTTTCTTTTTAAAGGAAAATACAACAATTATTTCGAATGATAAATGCCTGGAAGACATCACTTGTTAGCGAACCTGTTTTAATATATGTTAAAGATAACGAAATGTTAATACCTACTCAATAATTTTTACGAAGCTAATAAAACATTTTTAACATATAAGAAATATATAACCAAGGATAATAATTACTTATATCTAGAACAGTGTCTATAAATTTATTGAACCATATAATATGTCTATGAATCTATCTATAATATAATATGGATATGAATCTCAGATCAGATGTACTGGCTTGACATGTAACTGGCAGAAGGTTCGCCTGTATCTGTGTGTGTGTGTGTGTGTTTTGATTACACTAACAATAGCAATTCTTATTATATATATATAAAAACATCTAAGAATACCTAGTTAGAGTACCGAGACTTTTTTACGCCGGCTTTTTCTCTCGGCCTACACCCTCTGTCTTCTTTGCCGATGAGTAGGGATGCCTACAAATTCAAATTTAATGACGTGGAATAAGTGATACATGTATCTTATGTTCCTTAATAAACATATTTTATTTTATTTTTTATTTTTATTTTATTTATCAATATCGGTATTGATGAAAAAGGCGGATGTTAAGTGAGAAGCCAGAAGACTTGCAAGCACGTTGCCAAAAATTTTTTTAAACATTACTCTTCGTCAATTATAAGTAACATTCCTTGTAAATGTCTAAAGAACATGCTCTCATATGGGACACTGAATCATTGTCTGCGCTTTTTAGGACGATGCGGCCTTATTTCATACTTTGAAGCCGTATAAAAACGTAATGTAATAAATTGTGTCACATTTTACAGTATAATAATAGTTAATATAATTTTGATGTTATGCATCTATATAACAAACGATAAAAGGTACACATGAAAATGTAAAAATATAAAGGAAATTGTAATAAAAAAAATGGTTTGTAATTGTTAGGCAATCAATTAATTTTTGTGTTTTTCATTTGTTTAACTACTAAATTGTCAGTCTCGATTTTAAATGCTTCATGTTGACGTCCTAGTCATATATCTATACCAAATTTCGAATGATCGCGTACATTCAGCCAGTCTTTTATCTATGCCGTGGCCGGTAGAAGGATCCTACGATATTTGCCAAAACAAAATGTGTCACCTCTCTCGGTCTGTGTGTCAGACACAGAAGTGTGTCACCATTCAAACACTGTCGAGCATCGAACTGCAACTGGAGCAAATTCCACAAAAACTTCCTCTTTTTAATTTCTTCGTGAACAAAACACTTGCGTCATGACCCATATACAGATTTCTCGTAATTTTGTAACTGATTATTTAATTAACCAAAGACTAGAGCGGTCCCGGTCTTTCTTCTTAGCTTCTTTTCTTATTCTGTGTACTACTGTACTATTCTACTGTAGGTTGTGTATAAAGTTGAAACTATAAACTGGCTACTATGAGTAGAACACGGTTCCTAATATACGAAATAGTTTTTTCTAAAGCATATTTGAAAGTGTGTTGTTGGCCGAGTGGTTTTATCGTGCGACTCT